ATACCTGGTGGACGACCAGCCTCCGTTTCCAGCATTTGGGACTGCGAGAACAGGGGGCGTGGTCCAAGTAGGGCCTTGAGCTGTGTGTGTGTGTTGAGTTGCGCAGCAGGTGCGAACCTAGACCTCCGTGATTGTGCGCCGAGGCACTGCGAGTTTTAATTCTCCTTTCTGGGACCCTGGAGGGAGTGGTGACCCCGAGGGGTGTCCGAGGAGGAGCGGGCCCACCACCCGCTCCCCGCTTGGCCAGGCGGCGTGCTCGGGATCCTGTGCGGTTCGGACGCCATCAATTCGTGACTTTCCCGCAGGCCATTTTGTTCGAGCTGCGTTGGAAAAAAAACACCAAGGTACGGTTTCCCCACGCTTCCGCGCAATTTCCGCTAATTGTTCCTGGACTTTCCGATTGGGGGATGGGCTCAAAACGGAAGAGGCGCAAGCAATAGGGAAGCCAGCAGCCATCCTGCTGTGCAGCGTTGCCGATGCCCTGCCAAAGCTCGCACCGGCCCGAAAAATCTGGCCCGACCATACTTGGAAGCGCGATTGCTGGCACACTGTCTGGAATGGCGGATTGCCGCACCTAACCACGGTGGGAGGTAAAGGAAGAGGGAGGGGGCGAAGGAAAAGACGGTGGGGGAATGGAGGGCGACGAAGGGAGGGGGGCAGGGCAGGGAGGGCAGGGAGGGAAGGGAGGGGACGGGGGCCGAGGGCGAGGGAAAGGGAGGAAGGGAAGGGGGGAGGGGTGTAAGGCAAGGCAGGAATGGGAGAAGGTGGGGGGGTCGGAGGGAGGGATCATGACTTGCTGACCCTTCGCGTGTTCTCGCCAGCCCATCCAAGAAAGATTATTGAGCGAGCTGTCGTGAGAAGGGAGGTGGATGAGCAGCAGTGAAACAACGAGGGGCGGATACTGGTCAAATACACAAGGGGTGAGAAGCATAATGAACTCATCTGCTTTGCCAAGATAGGGGCAGTATAGGCCTGAGGGCGGCCTGGAGCCATCTTCCGGCTTTATTGGGGCCCTTGTGGGGCCTTTGGTGTCCTCTCGGGGCTTTCCTCTGGGCCACTTATGGCTCTTCTTCATTCCCTCTCTCTTTCTCTCTCTTCCACGTCCCTATCCTTCTCCCCCTCCCCCCCCCCGTCAGCAAGAAGAGGGAGGGAGGGAGGGAGGGAGGGAGGGCGAGAGTCGGGGAGAGAGACGGACACCGAGTTCGGACAGAGTCTTTCCCAGCGCCGGCCTACCAGCGGCGCGCGCGCCCTGTTCCTCTCGTGGACCGGGAGCGAAGCGCTTGACACTCGGGCGGGTGGTAACGGGGGGTGACCCACAACGGGGGGTGAAGAAAAACAACCCCAAAAAGGAGGGCCCTTTACATGGCCCCCTTTGGGCGCCCGCTGGCTCAACAAAAAGGGGCCCCTGGAGGGCCCCCTTGGGGGCGTTTTTCTTCACCCCCCCCATGCGGATCGCCCCCCATGGCCACCCGCCCGAGAAGCAGGAACCCAGAGCGCTCCTGGCGCGTGGCCGGCGGGAGGACGCTTCACGAGGTCCCCGGCGGTAACTTGGTTGACGGCTTACCGCTTGTACCCAGTTTCCTATCGTGTAGTAGGTCATGCCGCGTCTGCCGGTGAAATTCTTAGGTCCGTAGCTGCATTATTATTATCAAAAGACATACAGGAACCGACTTCGAATTGTAGAACACATTCTTTTGTGGTGTTCGGGAAATGATGCCAGAGAAAACCAGGGCGCGGCAAGCGCACACCACCGCGCAGCGCAGAGACGCCGTGCGGCGAGCGCGCGGCGCTCGCGCGGGGTGTGCACATGGACCGCGCCCGAGAGGAGCGCGCCACGGAGAGCGCGCGCGGGACGGCGGTGAGGGGCCTCCTCCTCCCCCTCCTCCTCCTCCTCCTCCTCCTCCTCCTGCTCCTGCTCCTCCTCCTCCTCCTCCTCCTCCTCCTCCTCCTCCTCCTCCTCCTCCTCCTCCTCCTCCTCCTCCTCCTCCTCCTCCTCCTCCTCCTCCTCCTCTTCGTCCTCATCATCATCCTCCTCCTCCTGCTCGTGCTCCTCCTCCTCCTCCTCCTCATTCTGCTCCTCCTCCTCCTCCTCCTCCTTTTGCTCCTCCTCCTCCGCCCCTCTGGTGAGGCCTGGCACCTGTTTTCATGGTTTCAGTGCCGAGCAACCTCGGGGCACATTGCACACGACACTTATTTCGCAGGTTGGGCGGGGTGCAACCGGCCGATTTTTCTGGAACCGCCGTCTCTGGGGCTTGGGGGGGACTTTGCGAAACCTGTATCGACGGGTCTCCCGTCGTTGGGTGTAGCACGGCCCCAGTCTCAGCCTGGCCCTGCTGGTGAAGGCGGGTAGCGGCGCCTGTGCGGTCATTTCATTGTGATATGACCCTCAGGGATCGGCATTTCCTCGGGGGGCGGTGGCTTGTGCCACGTGGGTCCCAAGGGGCCTTGTGCCCACCTAGGGCTGGGGAGCGTGTGCTCCTAGGTATGCCGTGCCAGCTGTTCCGACTGGGATGCATTTGGCTCCCAACGCGCCATGTCGGAACCGTTGGGCCGCGAGTCTTCACAGGCGACGTGGTCACCACCTTGCCCTTCCTGTGCAGCTGTTGCTGCTTTCCGGGCGGTAGTTCATTGACTGGGCGTGTGCAATACACGGGCGGCCTTCGGACGACCGACCCTGGGCGCCGGACTCCTCCTCCTCCTCCTCCTCCTCCTCCTCCTCCTCCTCCTCCTCCTCCTCCTCCCCTGTCCCTCGTCCCACCTCCCTCCTCAATCCTCCCTCCTCCCACCTCCCTCCTCTCCTCCTCCCTCCTCCTCCTCCTCCTCCTCCTCTTCCTCCTCCTCCTCCTCCTTCCCCCTCCTCCTCCTCCTCCTCCTCCTCCCTCCTCCTCCTCCTCCTCCTCCTCCTCCTCCTCCTCCTCCTCCTCCTCCTCCCCCTCCTCCTCCTCCTCCTCCTCTTCCTCCTCTTCCTCCTCCTCCTCCTCCTCCTCCTCCTCCTCCTCCTCCTCCTCCCCAGGGCCGGCAGCCCCCAGGGGGGGAGTTGTACAGACAGTTTGGGGTGGAGCGGGCGGCCCTGCGGCCGCGCCCTGCGTGTGGTGTTGGAGACGGAGGGAGAGATGGAAAGAGAGAGAGAGGGAAAGAACACGCACAGCAGAGGTCTGCAAGGAGCGAGGAGGCGGAGCGAGCGAGCCCGCGATGGAGGATGGACAGGATGAGAAGCAAAGGGGGGAAATGGGAGGAGAGGATCGAGGGGGAGGAAAGGCGAGGAGGAAAAGGGGCGGGAAGAGGAGAAGCGAGGACGAGGACGCGGAAGAGCAGGGCGATGGGGTGGAGGAGGCAGGGGCGGGGCAGGATCGAGGAGGAGGAGGAGGAAGAGGAGGAGGTGGAGGAGGAGGAGCAGCAGGAGGTGGAGGAAAAGGAGGAGGAGGAGGAGTGATGGGGGGGAGATGACGGGGGAGGATGCTCCGGCGGTGGTCGGAGGGAGGGGGGGTCGGTGGGGGAGGAGGTGAAAGGGGGGCAAGGGAGGAGGAGAAGGAGGAGGAGGAGGAGGAGGAGGAGAAGGATGAGGAGGAGGAGGAGGGGGAGGAGGAGGAGGAGTGCCAGTGTAAACCCAAGACGCATCAATGATGTTGCAGTACAACCTCCTTCCAATGTCCCCCTTCACAGGCTCCTAAAAGGAATTATGGTCACTGCGGGATGAGCCCCGTTGGAAGACAACCGTTTGATTTTTTGTCCACGGTGCCACACCATCCTTCTTGGGACTTCAACGCTTCGACTCGGCATTTTCGTTGCGACCTGACTACCTTGAACCATGTAAAAACACCGTCTCTGGGACGTCGGCGCCGCGATCAACGTGACTGTCGCGCCCCGAAAATCCTAAATGGTGCTACAGCACCATGCTTGGGACGTCTCAACAATACGAACCGCTGTAGACTGTTAAGACGAAGGTGTGCGGCGCTAAGGCGAGAGCCGCGCTATGAAAAGGAGCCACCCTCATTCCGCGAAGCTACTGCAGTTTCTTTAGGGCGAGCGTGCGCGGCGTTCAAGCGGGAGCCCACCTGTCCCGCAGGCTCAATCTCCCGGATGGCTGGAGGCCCCAGGCTGTCCAACCCAGGGCCAGTCTGGACAGGGACCTGGGCGAGGCAGGCGTGGAGATGAGCGAGGGCAAGATGGGGGAAAGTCCTCGCCCCTGGCCAGGATCTGGGGTCGATTCAAGGCTTGATGCACCCTTGCCGAGGCCCTCTCTTGGGCAGGGGCAGCTCACCCTGCGGCCCAACGTTCACGTTTCAAATCCATGGTGCCAGAAGGGCTAATCGTGGGGGTACCAGAACAAACAATTCCGTGTAGGGCCTGTGGCCGGGGGGGTAGTAGATTTATGGAGCTGGCCTGTTCGGCCATTGCAAGCCACCTTTGAGCGAAACTTGCCTACTGCAGTCCTGGCTGCGGCCTGCTGCCCGGTGGCGGCGTTGATCCTGGCCCCCCGGAGAAAGATGGCGAATTCCCCGGGAGAAAGGTCGGCGGTCCTGCTGAGCCAAGCAAGCCAATCTTTCAGGGTTTCACCAGAGAGGTTGAGAGCGGGACCAGTAGGGGCACTAGAGACTCGCAGCTGCAGCTTAGGGATGGCATCGGCTCCCTGGGGCGAGAGGGAAACAAGCTCCAGGGTGGGCCTGACAGCATGCTCAGCGACTCTGGCAAGCTGGAGGAGCCATCCCCACCATTGAGCGATGGGGTCGGCATACCTCTTAGGCTTGTCTCTGCGACTCATGTGAGCGGTACGCGGTGGCGCAAGCTTAGCCCTACCCAAAAACCTACCAGCACGCTCCTCGGGAATATCCAGAAACTGAACCGAAGCAAGCCCCAGAGTGGAAACCCAGTGGGAGTAATAATCCCCGAGGGAGAGGCGGAGGAGGAGGAGGAGGAGGAGCAGGAGGAGGAAGAAGAGGAGGAGGAGGAGGAGGAGGAGGAGGGGACGCCCCTGCCCTGCTCTCAAGCCTCCCCCCGAGGCCCAGGCGGCCACCGGCGCAGCTGCCGGACCAACCGCGGCGACTCCCGCGGGCACGGCTCCGACCGAGGGCTCCGCCGCGCCACCGGCGGCCGCCCCGGCCGAGGCACCGCTGGCGGAGCCGCCCGCAGCCGCCGCCGAGGCTCCCGCCGAGAGCTCGGCGGAGCCCGCCGCCGCCGAGGCTCCGGCCGAGGGCTCGGCGGAGCCCGCCGCCGCCGAGGCTCCGGCCGAGGGCTCGGCGGAGCCGGCCTCCCGCGCGGCCGAGGGAGCTCCCGCCGAGAGCCCGGCTGAGGCGGCTGCGGCCGAGGGCTCGGCCAGCGCGGCCGCGGGCGCGGCTGGGGGCCCGTCGGCGCCGCCCGCCGGCGCAGCCGCAGCCTCGGCCGGCGGCGCGGCGGCACCTGCCGCGGGCGCAGGGGGCAGCGGGGCAGGCGCCGCGGAAGCGAGCCAGGGTTCGGGCACAGTCCAGGCGCGGAAGCGAGGGCCAGCTGGGGCCGAGGAGGGGCCCTGGTCTTCGGGCTGTTTCTCGGATTCGCGGGCGAGGAGCTGCGATACCAGAAGAGCCCGGTCAGTTCCTTCCTGGGCGTTCCTTAGATGGCTGTATGGGCTCGGGGTGAAATTCGGTATGGACCTTGTCGCCTCGCGAACAAAATACCGACGGAAGGTTGTTGGACCTTTGGGGCTTTCGGGGGCCTTTGCTAGACCCTGGGACTGTCAAACAACTGTTCGGGATGAAACGATGGCCCCAGGGAGTCGTGGACAAAACAGCACGTCGGAGGTCTGGGTATGGACTCGAGGTGCAGTTGGGTCAAGTTGTTGAGGTGGCGTCAGGTAACTGTCGGATTATATCAGGAGGCGGTGGCTGAGAGCAGGGAGCGCGCTTCAGAACTTGCACAGCGTCGAATGTTGGGCGTGTCCGAGGATATATCTCGGCCTCGTGCGCGTGTCCGCTTCGATGCAGTGGAGGGCGGGGCAAGCATCGGACGGGCAATGTCATAAGTGACCCCGTGCAGTTCGAACCGTTTGCCATTCTCACCACACTATGATTGATTGCATCTCTGAGTCACTCATCGTTTGATATCGGCGCGCCATTGTCACTACCATGCAGCAGCAGCAGCAGCAGCAGCTCGTGGACGATTGGCATAGCGCTGAGCAGCAGCACGACCCAGACACCCACGAGTGCACGGCACTTGGGAGTGCAGCAACGCGTCACTCACATCACAAGTTGGACGTGCAATGGGACGGGCACCACATCACTGTGCAGCATGTTGTACAGCCTCGGCACCACTGACCAGCAGCACCACCAGCCCTGCCAACACGACTTGGGCCAGCAGCATCGCGCGCACCAGCACTGGCGAGACCAGCTACAAAACGCTGACCTGAACGGCGGTGATAATCGAACAACAAAAATGCGTAAGCATAAACATTCGGAGCTCAGCGCGGATTTCTTGGATCGGCGCTGAACCCCCCTCCCTGGCTTGCGGGGCGCGCCAGCGGCTGCGCCAGAGGTGCCGCCAGGGGGGCCCAGCGCCGATCCAAGAAATCCGCGCGGAGATCCAAGAGTTTGTATTCATGCCGATTCTTGTTCCTCCAGGGAAGCACCGTTTGCAGCAGCACGCAGCACTGGTGGCAACTCACCGCGCCACTGAGCAGCACGACCAGCACAGCCAAGTTCGATTCGTAGGTCGGTCCTGCCAACTCCAGTCTCCGCTCGTGTCCTGTGTGGCGCGACCCGTGCCTTCTGCACTCCTGTGGCAGTGCGGCCCCTGTATGGGTCCTGTGTCCACTCGCGTGTCGACCCCTAATCAGACTCGACTGTAGACGATGCGAGCCGCCCGCGGGCCTCGGGCTGGGCGCCGCTGGTTCGCGAGACGGGCGGGTCGCAGGTGGGCCATTCGCGGGACGGGTCGCGGGACAGGTCGCGGGGCGCGTCGCGGGCCGGCGACGACAAGGCAAGAACAACAGGGTCGGGGGGCGAGTTATGACCACCGCCCCCGCTCGCGTACCTTGTGCCGCAAAAGTCGCGCCCCCAGGGGATGTCCATTTTGTACACAGCCCCCCCTCTCTCCAAGGTCTTGTGCCTGACCAGCTTGTTTGTGGGAGTGGTGTATACAAGTTGTTTTCCAACAGGGAGAGTCCGCATCGCAGAACGCCACTTCAGCCACGCACCCAGGGACAGCGCAAACTGATTCAGCCCCTTCGTTCTGATCTGCCTTGCCAGCTTGGTGGAGACAGTGGGCGATGCGTGGGCAGCTGCCGCTCTCTTTCTCCTCCACTGCAGCGGCGAAGCATCGGCTTGTCCTCAAGAAACGGGATGCGCAGCTTGAAATTGCAATTGAACGTGTGCCGACCGCGCTCAAGCCAAGTCCGTGGAATGACACACACGATCACACACACACGCACCCACGCGCGCGCGTGCAGGAGGTCCTCTCTTCCGCACCGAAGGGGGGCGCTGAAGCTTTCTCCCAGAGACGCATCAGCCTGACGCAGACGTATCTGGTCCGTTGCCCAAGTGTGTGTGCGCAAGGCGAAGCGAATTTTTCATCGCTCTGGGAACGAGAAGAATAGACAGGAGGGAAGAGGGGGGCAACTATTCATCGCTGAAGCTTCCCCAGAGGTGCATCGGGCGTCTCTCCGCCAACCCCGCCTGCGGCAAGCCCGGCCCCCGCTGTGGCCGCCTCGGGCAAGGCGCCGAACCGCGCGGACAGCGACGAGGACCGAGATTGGTGCGGCTCGGCATGGTGGGTTCGGCTGCTCTTTAGGAGGGGGTGGCGCCATGCGAGGGGCTCCACAGGATGAGTCGATGAGGTCAACGATAGGAAGGGCGCTGGGGTCTGCAAGGTCGCCGCCATCAGCTCGGTGGTGAGGTCAACGATAGGAGGGCGTTGGGGTCTCAGATTGGTTTGGCTCGGCCTGGTTGGCTCGGCTGTCCTTTCGAGGGGGGGGCGCGCCAGGCGTGGGGTTTCAGTCGAAGAGGAAAAGGCTGCATAAACAGAATTCCGCGCTGATTTCTTGGATCGCCGCTGGGCCCCAGTGGCGGCGCCTTCGGCGCCGTTCCCTGGCGCGCGGAGCGCGCCAGGGAGGGGGGTCCACCGCCGATCCGAAGAATCCGCGCAGGACTTCGACAGTTTATGCTCATGCCGTTTCTCATTCTATCCAGGGGGCGAGGTGATTCTGTCAACGATCGAAAGGGCCTTGAGGCATGCAGGATCGCCGCCATCCGCCGCGCCTCGCTGAGGGTTGCGGCATGGCTGATGGCGCCTGCGCACCAGGCGGCCGTCTGCCGTCCGAGCTCCGCGATGTTGTCCACGAAGGACTGTCCAGAGCACTGGTTTACACCCTGGGCGATGCTTAGGAAAACTTACGTTTTCGGCCAGAGTCTAGGTGATTCTTACAGTTTCAATGCAATTCCCAAGATTTTAACAGAAATCCTGGGTCTTTGTTCAAATCCTGAGACTATGAATTTCTTAACCCATGATTTCTTAAGCATTTCGCAGGGTGTACCAATGTCGCGAGAGTCCTGGTTGAGCTTGAACAGTCCGACCAGAATTGCAGGGAGCCAGAGCGCATGTGTTCTGTTCGCTTTGGGGTCGTATGCGCCGTCATTGCGTGGCCTTGCTGGCGACAGGGGGACTGATGGTGGTGACTGTTGCGATGGACTGTGCACACGAGATCGTAGTCATTGAGGCAGTAACATCCCACTGCGGTTTTCTTCCGATGTCCATAATAGAAAAGCGTTTAGCCAGCCCTCTTCCCGTTCCCTTTTCTCATCAGCTGGGAGGCTGACAGTTTTCATCATCGGGGGTTTTGCCGTTAAGAAAGTCAAGTGTTCAAACAGCGTCATGATTCAACCCTTCCCCTTCCGTTGAGGCAAACGAAGCCGAAGCCGAGTGACGTGCATTGCTGCATCTGGCAGCCGTCGCGCTGCTGCGCCAGACAGCATTGGTTGAGGAGAAAGGTGCGTGCCTGTGCAAGAGTGTGTATGCGTGTGGTTGGCAGGGCCAGGCCCGTGCTTGGCCGTGCCGATGGCCGTTCTAGAATGTGTGAAATGTTTGGCATCAGTTAGGCGGTCCGACCAATTGCGGCCAGATGGGTCTGCCCCCGTGGTTGCGATTACGGCCCTCTCCACCCCGGGACTGGTTGGCTGAGCGGGCCGCTCTCGGAGTTCACGCCAGCGGTTATCCGCGGGCGCGCGGGGGGGGGAATCGCATCACGCGTCTAGCTGCTCGTGTGCCTTGCGCCTATGGCTTTCCTTGTCAACATGGTGGGGATCCGAAGGGCATGTTCCCAGATGCGCGACGTCACTGCTTCGAACCGACGCCAGCACATCAAACCGTTAATACACCCAGGATGTCCACGAGTGTGGTCCAGATCTGCCGCATACGTGTTATTGCAACCCTGTTGATGGTCGTCCTCATATATGCGCTTGCCATGCTTACAGGAGGCATGTGTCCAAAGTGTCACGCTTTGCGCACTGCTGCGTTGCGTTTGATTGTTACTTGCGTTTTCCTCCGCGCGGTATGAGTATAGACGTCTTACCATCTTATCAGAGCACCAGGTACTTGGGAAGGAAAGTGCAGTTCGACGAGTTTTCATGGGACAGAGATAGAGAATCGCATTGCTACAGTACGGCGTACATTTCACGCATGGAGGTCTGAACTTACGAGCAACCGCGACTCTCTCAAGAACGATTACCCAACCAGTTTCATGTGGTTGTGAAGCGTGGACTACAACAAAACAATTAGAACAACGGCTGCAGAAGAGTCAGCGACACATGCTCCAGATGATAGTGCACATTCCGCGACGCATGACCAATGCCACAGCATCGATACAACAACGCCCTTTTTTTAATCGACGTGCCGTCTGATCAGAGCGCCCAAAACGACGCACACAGCCACGAAGCCAAAGCCAGCGACAGCTACGATGATGACGCCACCTTGCCTTCCTTGACGCCACGTGATGTTCCCAAGCAGAAGCGGACGAGTCTTAGGCGGATTGGTTTCGACGATCCACTTGCGCTCTGGAGGAGTGTCTGAAGTTGCCCAAGATCGACGACCGGATAAAGTTATGCCGACGGGAAACCAATGAGGCGTGTTTAGAGGCCGCCGAATGGGCAAAACTTGATCTTCAGTGGGCGTCGGAACTGGACCTCCGGTATAAGCCAACCCACAGAACAGGACGGCCCAAACAAAGATGGATACATGAATTGCGACAGTATTTGTGTGCAGCGTGCGACGACGCAACTACGGCGGCAAGCCACTCAAGTTTCATTGCGCCACCGTCGTCCCCATCATCCTTCACGCCTTTACACATACTTGGCGTTGCTCCCCGCGGAACCACATCGGCGACGACCCTAACCATGCGTGGCAACCGCGGAAAACACATCGGTCACCGACACGACTCCCGACTCCCCGATTCTGGCGCCAGTCCTCGTCTCTCCGACTCTAGCGGTGGTTACAGCTCAGGCGTCACCCAGCTGTTCGGGCCGATCGATGCCCCATCCTCCTCCCTCCTTCTTTCTCTTCCCGCACGCTGTGCTGCGCAAGTGTTCCAAATGCTCCCAGCTTCTGGCTCCTATATCTCCGGCTACGGTTCCCTCTACGACTCGGGCCCCCATTCCCCCGACTCCGGCGCACAGGTTTGTCGAGTTTCCGACTCTGGGTCCCGTCTCTCCGACTCTGGCTCCCATTTCTACGACTCTGACATTTGATCTCATATTGCGAAGGCCTTGCGGCCGGCGCCGCCGACCCTGAAGGGGAACGACGGCGGCGGCAACGACGACGACGTTGACGTGGTTCAGAATCCTCATGGATGCTTCTTGGGGTCTCTTCGAAGCGCTCTCGGGGGCTTCTGGGGAACAGTTTAGAGGCCTCTTGGGATCCTCTTGGGGGCCTCTCGGGAGCCTCTTGGGGGCCTCTCGGGACTTCTCGGGGCCTCTTGGGTCTTGGGGGCCTCTTGGGGGCCTCTTGGAGGCCTCTTGGTTCCTTCTGGGAGCCTCTCGGGGCCGAGAGCTCGAAATGTCCGTTTTGCCCTTCGTCTAGGGACTCTCTTGGAGCCGTCTCGGGAGCCTCCTAGGCCGGGGCCGTTTTGGGTCCCTCCTGGAGCCCTCTTGGGCCGTCTTGGGGCGATCTGGGAGGCTTCCTGGGCCGTCTTGGAGCGTCGGGAAGCGGAAGAGGCGAGAACGCCGAAATGTTTCCAAAACCAATGGGAAGTCAATGTTTTTTTTTCTCGGGGTCCTCTTGGAATGGTGGGCGCCCGTGGGCGCTTCGCGGGCGCCCCGTGCGCTTGCTAAGTCTGCCGAGGTCTCGCCTGGTGGGCGGCCGCGGGCGCCTCATGGGCGCCCCGTGTGCTGGGCAGGTCTGCAAGTGTCTCGCCTGGTGGGCGGCCTTTGGCGCCTCGTGGGCGCGCCGTGCTGTTTGCATTGCATAGCTTGTGGTACAGACCGCACCCCCTTGCTTGCACCACACCTCGCGTACACCCCCTTGCGTGCACCGCGCTGCTGATGCCGGACAGCTTGCGCTACACATAGGTTGCAACACACTGCTTGCAGCGGGCACAGCGTGCTCCACTTAGATTGCACCGCATAGCTTGCACACACACAGGGTGTAAGAGTTCACTGCTTGGGGTCCACGCTGGCAATCATGCGGATTATAATGCGTAGCTACTCCATAACAGCGCATACGGCTATCACCGTGCAGGCCCTTGGAACCCTCACCTCTCCGGCGGGTGCAAGGAACCATTTGGATCGACTTCTGGAGAGGGGACCTGGGACGGGTGGTCGTGTTGCAGCATCCAGTGGCGCGTGCTAGGCATACTCTGGTCCCCCTCCCTTGCCTCCCGTCAACAGGGGGCAGACTCGCCCACGCGAAACTCGGCCAGGCTGATTTCGGCCCGGGCCACATACATTCAGCTTGGCCGAGTTCTGCCTGGCCGAGGTCAGCCGGCAGAGTTCAGCCTGGACCAGTTTCGCCTGGCCGAGTCTGGGCCGAGTGCTTCCTGGCTGAGTTTAGTTGCTGCCCCTCCTCCTCGTCCTGATCACCTCCGTCCTCCTCGTCCCCGACACGGCGAGGACGCCAGGGAGGACGAGCCCCGCGACTGGGAGGCCGGTGCCCCGGCGCCCACTGCCTCGGACCCCGCTCCCTCCCGAGAGCAGGGGCTCGGACGTGGGCGAAGACACGAAGCGGGGGCTTCGTGGCGGAGGAGGGAAGGGGGATCGAACAGAGTACTGATGTTTTTCAGCGTTTTCGGGTCCTCGGGGCCCTCGCCTGGCCCCAGGACCGTCCAAAACGACTCAGGATGCAAAGCCGGCCCTTGGGAGGAACCCGTATTGAGGAAAAGCATCAGGTCGGATCTCTGGGACAGCGTGTATTTTGATCTGGGTCGTGTTAGAGGGATCCCAAAAGGCACGCTATCTGAGAGGAAGGGGAGGGGAAGGGCGGGCAAGCGAGACACTCCCCAACGCTCGTGGTCCAGCCCGCCGCATTCCGTCCCCCTCTTCGTCGTCGGGCTGAAATGGACCTTGACAGCAGCGGCGTTGGCAGAAAGATAGAGAGAGAGAGAGAGAGAGAGAAAGAGAAAGAGAGCGACAGAGAAAGGGTTCAAGGAGGCAAAGGCGAAGCTCTAATTCACGCGGTCTGGCGCCTGCGCACAGCCGTGGTGGAGGAGATGGAGGAGGAGGAGGAGGAGGAGGAGGAGGAGGAGGAGGGGGAGGATGAGGAGGAGGGGGGGAGGGAACGGGAGGGAATTGGAGGGGATAGGAGGGGAGAGGAGAGGAGGGAAGGGGCGGAGGAAGAAGAAGGAGCGCGGGCCCGGCAGCGGGGTTCAGCCTCCGCCGGCTTCCCGGGCCACGGTCGACTCCATGTGGCCGGAGACAATCCCGACGCTCTCGCCATCTTCCTGAGTTCAACGGGGACGGGGAGGGTAAAACAGGGCTAGGATCGGGATAAATCGCCCCAGAGCGTTCCGGAGCGCTCTCAGAGCGTTCCGGAACGCTCTGGAGCGGCCGCGGCGCCCAATACATCCTCCAAACCCGCCGACTCTCAGAGATTTCGAGTTATCCCGATCCGATTTTGTCCCGATCTCCGCGTCGTTTTAGAGGGGTGATGAGTGGTCTTGCGGGCTCCTGGATGTTTTCGGGCCTTGGTATCACGTCCAACAGCGGTGCCTCGTCGGGAGCTCTCCAGGGCCGCCAGGATCGCCCCAAACGGTCCTGGGGCTCGAGTCACGGCTCGAGGGCCCGCGAAAGGAGAGGGAGGCCCCAGAACTTCCTCCCTCCTCCTCCTCCTCCTCCTCCTCCTCCTCCTCCTCCTCCTCCTCCTCCTCCTCCTCCTCCTCCTCCTCCTCCTCCTATTCTTCTCCTCCTCCTCCTCCTCCTCCTCCTCCTCCTCCTCCTCCTTTGAACGAGCCATGCCGGCTTGTCTTGTGGGGCAGACCCGTTCCAGGCTTTGCAGGGCCCGGCGGAAGGTTGCCCAAGTCGTATTGGATTGGCGGGGGGAGGAGTAGGAGAATGAGGAATAGGATGACAGAGGAGAAGGAGATGACGATGAGGACGAGGATGAGGAGAAGGAGGATGTCGCGATGATCGTGTGAAGGGAGCAGTAGGATTATGAGGAATATGATGACAGTGAAGACGGGAATGATGATAGGATGGCAAGGAGGAAGATGTCGTGGAGACAATGGTATTGATGACGATGTTTGCTCTGACGATCAGTGTGAATTTGATGAGGATAGAAAAGCGGCGAAGATGATGAGGCCTGCAAGTAGCCGTACTGGTGATGGTGATGATGACGACCAGGGGCGATGATACAAAACGTGGATGACAACACAGTCCATGATGATGATGAGGAGGAGGAGGAGGAGGAGGAGGTGGAAGCGGACCCACATCGTATCGACCGTGTCGAGCACGACCACGACGCGCTGACCAAAGCTTCGGAGACCCGGTCGGCCACCGCATTGCTCCCTTCGCAATGACGAACAACCAGATCGTGCTAGTGCGCTTCACCATCCACCAGCAGTGCAGCATCTCGGCATACCCACCCAGTGGCTGAGGAGCCCACTGACATACCTACACCGCACCAAGTTCAACGTGAATGTGAGGAAATCTGCAGCTATGTCAAGCTTGCCCTGCGCTACAACCCGACACGCGCACCGACGCCGTTCACCGCGTCTTCTTTTCAGAAGGGCATCGCCATGGATATGATCTGCAGGATGGACCTGCTGCTTCAGCACAGCGGCGAAAGCAGCCCTTCCCCTTCAGGAAAGTCAGCTGTCCGAGAACCTGACCAGCGTGCCCCACGACCGGCCCCCGCGCTGGGCACCAGCCACCAGGGCCAGGCCCCGCGACAGGCCAAGAGGGCCACGGTAACAAACAACCGACGCCAGCCACCTACAGCGGTACAGGAGGAGGACGAGGAGGAGGGGGGAGGATTGTCACGGCTGTCGTTTAAGGCACGGGTAATGTTTTACCGCTTCGTGGCCTAACAATGGTGGCACCCCATGTTCTGGATGCAACAATGGGACACGCAGTCCCCGCGCATTGGAGGATGTCCCATGTAAATCGGAGGTGAGGGGGAGAGATCGAAGTGGAACGGAGAGCCCCCCTACCGGGAAATCGGTTTCGGTTTCGTGTTCGTGCGCGTTGGTTACTCCCCCCCCCCCGAAACCTCCTTATCACCCGAAGGGTAGTCGTTTTGGTACGGAAGAGGCGTCTCTTGTCTGGTATTGCGTTATTTGGTCTCCTCATCCTACTGTTCCTCTTCCTCATCCTATTCCTCCTCCTCGTGCTTTTGGCCCCGTGCCCCAGACACGTCGTGGAGGAGTAGCCAGGTAGGTTTATGCTTTGACATGTTGATAGTTCGCAGACCTTATTAGGCCGTAGCAGGCCTGGGGTCTCCGCAGTTGCACGCGGGCCACAGGTGGCAGTGTCAGGCATGGGAGTGGGGGGCTTACCAGCCACCGTGCAAAGGGCCCGCGTGTAGGCCATGGGTGGCCACAGGCCGTGCAGTGGAGGGCATTGGCGCGAGTGTTGCACAGCATAGGCGTGGTAGTAGCCGCATCTTCACAAGTGTTGCATCCATGGGAGTACGGGGATTGGGCACGGGGCAGCTAAGTGTGCTTCACAGTCGTGGGGTGGCCCTCCTCTGGGAAGAGGCCAGGCGGTTGTAAACCATCCTGCTTCGCAGCCGTGGGGGACTTTACTCGTGCATTCCAGGAGGAGGGGGGAGGAGGAGGAGGAGGAGGAGGAGGAGGAGGAGGAGGAGGAGGAGGAGGAGGAGGAGGAGGAGGAGGAGGGGGAGGAGGAGGAGGAGGGGGAGGAGGAGGAGGACACTCTGCCGACCGCCGACCTCTTCACGCGATGACTCGCCCTCGCGATCGACAGCAGGTCTTTCAACTTTCAGCCGGCACATGCAAACGCCTCCTACTGGCTCAGTACATGCTCCCGACATCCCCGCTGGAGGGGATGCCACCACCACACCACGACCACCAACAACGAACGTCGCGATGACCGACTAGACTACGCCCAACAGTGAGGGCTACCCATTCGGCGCCAGGCATCCAGTGCTGCACTCGGACCCGAACGCCATCAAGGACCAGAACGAGGACGAGGACTACCCCGGCTATGACAACATGGACTACGTAAAGACGGACCATGGCCCAACGACCAGCACAGCCAACAGCTGCACCATATCCAAAAACCCACGCGAACTGCATCCGAAGCGAACAACCCCACAGCGACCGTGCCGACAGCGTGACCGAAGACAACACGACGCCCATCTCACGCGGGTGTACTCCCGGTGAGGAGCTCACCACCTATCCCTCCTTTCTCCCGACAGCCGACGTATCGAAGGGGGCGGCGAACGCCGCCGCCCTCGTGCCGAGGCGGGACCTGCCGCACGGAGGCCTGGCAGCGCGCCATACCTCCCACACAAAGTTTGCTGATGTCGGCGACCGCAGACTCCCTGCCATGTTTAATCAGGCGCGTCAGGTGCGCGACTTGTTATTCGAAAATTTAGCAGCTGCCCGAAGAGCGCCCCCCCCTCACCACGGGCGGGTTGTAGCACACGTAGAGCGAGTTGTGTTCGCGGTGCCAGCTCTCCTTGTCCGTCTCCCGACATCTGCAGTACCCTTTACCGAAACCGCCGCACTCCGTGCTACGACAGCAGCAGCAGCTGGATTCTACTCCCTACGGCACATCGCGCTATTCATTCCACTCCGATACGACGGCAGCGCCAGCACGCGGCGACAGCGGTAACTCCAAGGGGCGCGAAGATTGTGGGCCCACGGCAGTGGCATTCTCACCCACACCCATCCGACGTTGGACATGCATTCGCGGCGGCTACATCCACACACATCCACAACAGGTTTTTCTACGCAGTGGGCTCACGTTCAGACAGGGGTCCAAAACCCGCCGTGGCTTTCTCACCCACGTATACTGATCTTCCGACGCACTGCGATCGCACATGCCACAGTTGCCCGCATGGTTGGAGCAATGTATTTCCAGATCGATGGACAGAGCTCTCTCGTGCACCTCCTTGTTGGTGGCCTTACTCGCACTCACCAGCTGCGAGCTGTGGCCTCCGAGACGACAACACGAAGAGCTACATAACTATCCACCGGTCCTGAGGGAGCCCTCACCCAACCTTCACTCCCTTCTGGCTCCACCTCCACCTGTATGCCCCGCTCCCCCCACCTTTCGCCCACAGTCCTTCCCACTCGTGTGGCGGCGGAGTGGGCGGGGGGGGGGCACATCTCATCCTATTGGGGGGAGACAACAGGGGGAGCGCGCCGACGGCCGTCCTGGCCAGGGCCGGGACAGCCGCGGCACACAACCATTGTCAGCCGACCAAAGCCGATGGTCGAAGGGCCCACAGCAGCAACACACACAGGCCCCTTCGGCGTCTCTTTCTTAGCCGAGCTCCGAGGCGGTCCTCCGCCTGTAGCGTCAGTGAGCGCCTGCCCTGGCGCCCCCTCCCCGAACTTACGGGAGGCAGCCAAGCCAAGCACTCGAAGGCAAGCCATGCACACGCACAGTATGGAGGACACCCTCCTGGCAAGGCAGTCGCAACCTGGAGCTGGCGGGTACGCACAACGGACGGTAACATCAACAACAAACCACGCCCCGGCGTCTCGCCTCTCCTCTCACTGCCGCTTCAGCTCGCTTCAGGCCAAGGCCCCGCAGCAGCTGCTCACCGCTCAGAGCCGCCTCACCGCTTGCCCAGCCTCGCCCCACGCCACGCGCGCGCGCCCCACAGGGGCGCTCGGGCAACCTCTCTCCAGCCACCTCGTCCTCTTGCTGTTTCGACCCCGCCTCTCTCTCTCTGTGCTCACGCCGCCACTCTTCACAGCTCGCTTGCAGTCACTGCGCGCCGCCAGCCTCCACCCGCGCCGCTTGCTACCAGGGGGGATGGCTACTAGGGCGGGGCACGGAGGGGCGCATCGACGCCGGCCGCCCTGGCGTTGGCCAGGGCGGCCGGTGTCAGCAGCGCCGCAAGCCGCCGAGTTGCGTTCTCCCGCCGCCAGCGCCGCAGCCCCACCGCAGCGGTGAACTGCCGCACGGTCCAAGCATTCAAGGGGGCGGGGAATATCGGGGCCATGGGAAACACCTTCAACGAACGCGGCCGCTGCCAGGGTCGCGCACCCCCCCCCGCGCCCAGTGGAAACCCCAACCCGATCCTACAGGTCTCCCCTGGGGACCCTTCGGCCGCCTCGGTGGGCGAGGGCCCCCTTGGTGGGACCGGGGGTCGGGGTGGTGGGGCTTCCTATGTGCTGGACGAAAAGGCACTTGCGCCGCCTCCTTGGGCGGGAGTGGCCGCGACCTCGCCGCCGCAAGACCTCCGCCAGGAGGCGCAAGCCTCCTCCACGCCCAGCGGGAGCCCCCCCTGTAGGCAGCCACCAGTTCCACGGTCGCGTGCCTTCGCCTGCTCCGGCGGGCGAGGGTCCCCGTCGTGGAGTCGTGGAGCTGGGGGGTCCCGGTGGGCAGGAGGAGAACAGCCTCTGCGCCGTCGCCCGTAAGTGAGTGCGGCCTCGGTGGCACAACCGCGCCGTCCCCAAACCACCGCCGCCGCCGCTGCCGCGCTCTCTCTTCTCCCCCTCTCGCTTGTCCTCTCTCCGATGTGATTTATGATCGGGTGCCCTCCCGTTCTCCTCTTGCCCCCCCCCCCAGGGTGCTGGGGGACGCAGCGGCCCCGCCGTGTTTTGGGGGGTCTGCTCGTCGCACTTGTCTCCCCTAGCTTCTATTTTGATCCACCCCCCAGGGTCAACCGAACCCAGAGAGGGGGGGGGGCGGCTGCGTCTGAACCAGCCACTGGCCAACAACTCGAAGCTCGAAGGCGGAGGATGAGGGAAAGAACTGAGCATGAGGGCAAGCAAGACGTAGGACCACCCCTGCTCCCGGATTCTTCCCTCGTTCTCATCCTCCTGCTTCTCACTATCCTCCTCCCACCCCGTTTCCTCCTCTCCCTCCCTCCCTCCATCCCTCCTCCCTGCCCCCCTCCTTCTCCTCCCCCCTCCCTTTTTTCTCGCCCCTGTGAGATTCCGTTCAGAACCCGTTTCCGGGTGGCGTCCAGCAGTGGCGACACGGGAGTGGGTGGGGTTCGAAGGCCCAGAATGGAAAGGGGGGGATGAGTAGAAGGAGGAAGAAGAGTCAGAGGATGAGGATGTGGTGGTAAGTCTTAGTGCCGCCATGGATCCTGACCTCCAGATTCTTCCCAGAGGCCCCCAGGAGGCGAAACCACAAGACGCCACCCGAAGACGTCCGATAACTTCTCTCCGACTCGATCCTTGAGGGTCGAGGGCAGCACGTCAATTCCCTTATCCTCTGGGGTCCATTTCGACCCGACCGATCCGATTCGATGTCGACCTCGGCCGGCCCGATCCGATGCAGTCCCGATGTTCCGCCGATCCGATGCGGACCGATGTTTGCATATGTTTGCAACAGTTTTTACGCATGCCGGCGCCGCCGATCCGAGCCGATCTCGGCTCCGTGCCGATGCGATCCGGTCCGACGCACATTCCTCGTTGTTCCTCGCCGGCAGGCCCGTGACACACTGGTGCGTTCCTCGCTCAAAGAACATCTGCTTTCCAGTAGGCTGTGTCGCGGCAGGGGTGATCCATGAGTGTATCTTTGACGTGCCCTTCCGGGCCTCTCTGATCTTGAGCTCCGAAGCCGTGCTTTGATTGACGAACGGAGCGGCAATCTTGGCAACCATCGCTCGGGCCGGACGAAAGGGGGGGATTGGGAAAGGGGGGATTACGAAATTTGCTGCATGCAGCTGGTTTCGGCCTCACCGAGGGGCCCATTCCTCGACACATAGCCGCCTCTGGCGCCGGGAGGCGCCAGGAAAATCAGCTACGTGAGCTGATTCTCAAACCCCCCCTTTGCTATCCCCCCCTTTCGCCCGACCCGAATCGCACAGCTGACCCGACGCTTCTTGTCCATGGCCGCCCTCGGCAGCACCGCCTCGCCGAGCCTCTGCCGCACCGTCTTTCAGGAGGGAACAAAAACACACAGACACAATGAATCGTCCACTCCCAGGAAAATATGGGAAAATATGGGAAGTGGGGGGGAAGACAAAAACCCAGAACATATAAGAAAATATGGGGAATCCGTTTATTTGTGTGTATTTATTTGTGTGTCCCAGGGCCCCTTCAGTCTTGCCGTCGGAGTCCTCCCTGTGATCGAAGGTGCGGGTGGTGCCGTTGGCCAGCCTGTCCTCCTTGGTGCGCAGGACCTGGTCTCTGCACGCACGACATGGGTACTGAAAGAATGGGTACAATGCCCAACAGCGGATCTTGTTCATTTTGAACAGGGCTCGCTGTCCACGCCGCCGCGGCCTGTGTCCATTCGAGACAGGAGGCCGCCTGCCCAACAGTGGCCGCTGTTGGTTTGGGACAACATTTGCTGTTGGGCATGGTACCCATTTTTTTGGTACCCATTTGGGGCGTCCAAATGGTCGACCGGGTCGCGGCTGGCCTGGCTCCTCGTGCACACCGAAGAGCGCGCTGCGGAGTCGAGCGCCGAGCCGCCCCTTGGCAGGGCCTTCTTGGGCGGCATCGGCACCCCGACTCCACGAGCTGAGATGGATGGAGGGCGGGTCGTTTTCAAAACGTGGCTCTCGCCCTAGCGCCGCGCACATTCGTCTTGAAAGTGTGCGACCTCTCCAAGGACGGAGGACAGGTCGTTTTCAAAATGTGGCTCTCTCCTTAGAACCGCGCACATTCGTTGTTCAACAGCGCGAGTTTCACATGAGCAGGGTGATTCCTTTTCAAGTTGTGGTTCTCGCCTGAGGCCGCGCACCTCCGTCTTAGTACATTGCAGCAGCTTCAAGAGTGGATGGCTGATCATTAGAAAATTGTGACTCTCGCCTTAGCGCCGCGCACATGCGCCTCAAACGTTTGCGACAGGTAAAAGGCTCGTACGGCTGATTTCCCAGGAGTGGTGTTCTTGCGCGACCTAGGGTTGCCAGGGCGCAACAGTCACATACATTCCTGTGTTGAAGTCCAGGAATGATGTTCTGGCGCGAGGGACGTTTCTCTGACTGTTGTCTTCTAGCGGGCCATTTCCCGCAATGAAGAACATCTTGTAGGGACCTATGAAGAGGGAGCTCGGGAAGAGGGTTTCTTGCAACAGCGCTGATGCGTTTTGGGTTTACGCCGGTCCTCCTCCTCCTCCTCCTCCTCCTCCTCGATCCTCCTCCTCCCCCTCCCCCTCGATCCTGCTCCCCTCCCCTGTCTAAAACAGAGCTAGGATCGGGATAAATCGCTCCAGAGCGTTCCGGAGCGCTCTCAGAGCGTTCCGGAACGCTCTGGAGCGGCCGCGGCGCCCGATACATCCTCCAAACCCGCCGATTCTCAGAGATTTCGAGTTATCCCGATCCGATGTTGTCCCGATCTTCGCGTCGTTTTACTGTCGGGCGCCAGGCCTCGGACGAGGAGGGCGTCCGCAGGCGCAAGTCCCCGGCGGCGGACGACGGCAGCGACGAGGAGGAGGGGCACCACCGCAGGCGGGGGAGGTCGCCCCCGCCTGGACGACAGTGGAGGAGAGGGAGGAGGCGGAGGAGGAGGGGGAGGAGGAGGAGGAGGAGGAGGAGGAGGAGGAGGAGGGGCACCACCGCCGGCGGGGAGGTCGCGGGCGGCGGCGGTCGCCCCCGCGCCCGCCGCGGCCTCCGGCGGCCGCCGCGGGCAGGGCCGCCGAGGGCCGCCCTCCTCCTCCTCCTCCTCCTCCTCCTCCCTCCTCCCTCCTCCTCCTCCTCCTCCCTCCGCCTCCTCCTCCTCCTCCTCCTCCTCCTCCTCCTCCCCCTCCTCCTCCCCCTCATCCTCATCCTCATCCTCCTCCTCCTCCTCCCCCTTCGCCTCCTCGTCCTCCTCCTCCTCCTCCTCCTCCGCCTTCGCCTCCTCGTCCTCGTCGTCCTCCTCCTCCTCCTCCTTCTCCTCCTCCTACTCCTCCTCCTCCTCACTGCAGGTCCTCTGGGGCTCGGGCCGCCGGGGCGTGGGCGTCCGAGCGGCCACCATCAAGCAGTGACGAAGCGTCCTGGCTCGCCTATAGTCAGAGACCCGAATCATCAGGGTAACTCGGGTCAGGGCTAACTCGGGTTCGTCTTTCGAGAATCCGAACCCGAGTTGCCCCGGGCCCGAGTTACCCCGGATAGCTCGGGCGTCCAGAGCCCCAAATCATCAGGGATAATTCGGGTCAGGGCTAACTCGGGTTCGTTTTGCGGGAATCCAAACCCGAGTTACCCCGGACCCGAGATACCCCGGATAGCTCGGGCGCCTAATATAGCCCCTACCAAACAATGTCCTAAGAACCTTTGTGGTTCCCACGGAAGGTTCTTGGAGCATTTCTGGCTGGGACTGTCTTGTTTTGTCACATCGGGTTCATGTTCTAAGAACCTTGCTATTGTTCTTCGAACATGTTTGGGTTCTAAGAACATCTCGTGGTAGGACTATAGGAGTGCCGGGACGGTCGGTCCCTGCTCAACACCAGGCGTCGCGGAGCAGGTCGAGGCGGGAGCGATTGCTCGACGCGATCGGTGAAGAAGCCGCTCGGGCCCGGGTGCCCTGGGTTTCTTCGTCTGCAGCCGAGGCGCGAGGAGCCTCACCCTGGGCACCCTGGGCCGAGAGACCCCGGCGGGTTTCAGGGTTGGGGTGCTTGCGGTGGACTTCTTGCGCATCGACCCCCGCTGTACACCGTCGGGGCGCTGGGCCTCCAGGCCGCCCCCAGGGGCGCGGCGACAGATGCCCCCCGCCCCCGCTCCTCGCCCGGTCGGCTACTCTCCCTGGAGGGACACTTGATGCGGGCACCCAGGCCGCCCCCATGGGCCCCCAGGCCGCCCCCAGGGGCGCGGCGACAGATGCCCCCCGCCCCCGCTCCTCGCCCGGTCGGCTACACATGGGTGGCCTCTCCCTGGAGGGACACTTGATGAGGGCACCCGAGGGTCCCCAGATGGCTGAACGCGATGCCAAGGCAGCGGCTTGCGCGCTCGTGCCTGGCCTCCCCGCGGCCGCCGAACGCCGCGCACCCAAGGTCACTCGCTCATGACTGGGGTCACTCGTGCGGGTAGCCGACGCTGGTGCACTGGCCGCTTCTGAGCCTAAAACGACGCGAAGATCGGGACAACATCGGATCGGGATAACTCGAAATCTCTGAGAATCGGCGGGTTTGGAGGATGTATCGGGCGCCGCGGCCGCTCCAGAGCGTTCCGGAACGCTCTGAGAGCGCTCCGGAACGCTCTGGAGCGATTTATCCCGATCCTAGCCCTGTTTTAGGGCCCCCGTGGATACAGACCTCAAACGAGTCTGGCGCCGGGGCAACCCGGTCATCTCTCTCTCTCTCTTGTTTTCCTTCCTGCCTTGGAAACTGCAGGCTTCGGTACCAAAGTGGCGCAGCCCTCCACCTTCGGCGTCTTCCTTCTCCTCCAGCTCCTCGCCCCTCCTCTTCCTCCGCCTCCCCCTCGCGCGGGGGAGTAGGAAACCTCCCCGCTCCTGCGGGATGCCAGGCCCGCCCTTCTCCTCCCCCTCCTGTCCTCGAAGGCGCGCGCGCGCGTGTGGCCCGTCCCGGGTCGGGGTGTGCGCACGCATGCTGCGCATGCGCCGTCCTCCGCGGCGGCCGCCGCGGGCGCGATGGTCGGCTTCAGCGGATGGACCGGCGTCCGCCGCCAGTGTTTGAGGGCGAGGAGGAGGAGGCGGAGGGGGAAGAGGAGGCCGATGCCGATGCCGATGACGATGACGACGACGACGACGAGGACGAGGGCGATGCCAACGACGAGGACGAGGAGGAGGAGGCGGAGGAGCAGGAGGCGCAGGCCGAGGGGGGGGAGGCCGTCTTCGGCGAACCCTTAGGCCATGAGCCCTCAGGCGGAGGGGCAGGAGGAAGCCCCCCCACCCCACCCCAGCCCGCGCCAGCACGGGCGCCAGGTCGCCCGACGCGGTGGCGAGGGAGGGCGCGGGCGAGGCGGACCAGAAGGCCCGGCGCGCGGAGGCCCCGAGGCCCTCGGACGAGGACGGGGGCGCCCGTGACCGCGCCGTCACGGCACGACGACGACGACGACGACGACGACGACGACGACGACGACGACGACGACGACGACGAAGGCGCCCGCGGCGGCGGCGGCGTCGGTGTCGGTGTCGGCGGCGGAGGCTTCGTCGTCGTTGTCGGCCGCCTCCGCCGACGCCGCCGCCGACGCCGCCGACGCCGCCGACGACGCCGCCGACGAAGACGACGACGCACGACAGCGGCGACGACACCGACGGCGGCGGCGGCGGCGGCGATGACGGATGCAGGAGGGGGAAGGAAGAGAAGGGGCGAGCCCTTCTTGCGCCTCTGTTTCCCCCTCCATCCCTCCTCAGGTAACTCCCCCCTGTCGCACCACCAGACTTGTTCGTAGGCCAGCCCAGGCGTTTCGCTTGAGATATCCTTGCAATATCTTATCCCGAAGCTTGCAGGTTGAAGGGCAGCTTGCTTTTCAAAGTTTAGCAACGTTTGGAAGTATGGAGGCCTAATCATTTTCAAACTTGCGTTATCGCTTCAGCGCCGCGCACATTCGTCTGGAAAGCTTGCAGCTACGCTACACGGAGGGAGGGCGGTACGTTCTCAACAGGGGGCTTTCGCCTTCGCGCGGTGCGCCTTCGTTGCAAGGATGAATGCCAGTACCCTTTTTTCCGGAGGCAGTTTTAGTTTAAGCATTTGTGACAGATGGACAGATCAAGGGTGGTTCCTTTTCAAAGTGTAGAGCTCTCGCGCGGGATGTCCTCGAACTCGGTGTCCAGAAGTGTAGACTGCTGAAGCGTTTGCATGGATGGAGCGTTTTTGACGTGGTTTCCTAGGACATCGCTTGGAATTCTAGACGCTTCGCGTAACCCCACCAGCACGGAAGGATGTTCGGTACTGCCACAGGAGCACACCTTAGGGAGCTCTCCGAGTACGGGAGGCTGGCCAAGCTATGGGTCCGCTTCCAGAGGACCAACCTGGGCAAGAGAACCACGCTACACATTGATCAGACATTTAACCCCATCGTGGACCTCGCGACATGGATTCCCCCCGCTCCCACACACAGGGGACGACAGCATAAAGGTCTGGACGACGCCATCAAGAAGGCCAAAGCCAGAATGGAGAGCACCTTCGCAGACCGCATCGCGGCACCACTCGATCCTCAGCTCTCTTGGGACAAGCTGAGTGCTGCTCTCTCGGATAGCATACGGAAGTTGGTTGACGACCCCACAATGGCTATCCTTCTGTACACAGTCTCCGGGCTACACCCCCACCAGTGGCAAATGGGGGCCACCGCCAGGCAGCCGGGCAGCTTAGACAGGAAGGCCTGGAGTCACTTTGGCTATTGCTTAGATGTGGAAGTCGGGATCGATGCCAGCAGCCTCGTGCAAAACCTCACGTGGGCAGCCCTGGTCTGGTTCCTCGGACTGGGTACGCCGTGGCACGACAAGCAGTTAGGCGTCACATACGACACGCTCCCACCGCTGCCCCACATGGTTGGGAACAACCGCCGCCCCAAGGCCTCAAGCTGGTGTACCCCCCGGAGCACGTTCCCACAGTTTCCCGCGGCCTGGGGCAGCCCCACCTGCCGGTGCAGACGCCACAGGGTGCATTCAGGAATGGAGAACCTTCATTCCCTACTCAATATCGACAAGATCGATACAGATTACACGCAATCCCTAGTAGGAGACGACGGGCTGCCCCTCAATCCCCCCGCACTCAGAGTGCTACTAGTGGTGATGATGCTGCAACTACGCGAGCCCCGCGCCACACTCTGGCCCTTCCCGTACCCAGAGGCCACAGGCGACATCCTTGAGGCCATGATGGGCCTGTGCCTTCCGTTGCAGGAGGCACACAAAGAGTTCCGCACCCAGTTTGCTGAGACGTGGGGTTTACAGCTCGCGGACCTCGCCTCCCTCCACGCCAAACTAGCTGAGGTCATGCACCACACTAGCACCTTGGCAACATATGCCCATCACCACGAGTTTGCAGCCAAGCACGAATGTCCGAAGACATGGGCAGGAATGCAGGCACACGACTTCACCCTGGAGGCCCCCCTGCGCGTGCTGGAAACTCTAGTCCGGCCTGCCGACGTCACACAGCTAAACATTGGAGGGTGTTCCATCTGCCAGCTGCACACGGCCTTGGCGGGATCAGAGGTGGGACTCGGCAGCCCACATACCATGGACGACCTCCGGTACATTGGGGGCGGGATAGCAATCTCCAACCACCGACTTGACGAGGACATCCGGCCCCCCCGGCCCCAGGAACAACACTGTTCCCAATCGCACGCGACGAACGCTTCTGCAGGCGGCAGAAGGACGCCACCTACAACTGCGACGGATGCACCAGCGTCGGACTACATGGAACAGCAGGCACCTGGGAAGACGACGGCGCTCGGGAGCTGCTAGCCCAGAACCGTGCGCAGGCGTACACGGAAGGAAAGAACTGCAGATGGCTCTGCGAGCACTGCTGGGTCAGCTCGCCGGAAAGGAAGCGGATACACGTCCCCGAACCCGACGCGACAGGGCGCAGCAGCAGGAAGTCCATGCAGTGGCTATTAATTACAAGAGCACAAACGCAGACGGGATGAAAACCGCGCACGGAAAAGGGCCAAGACATTCCCCTCTCTATCCAGACTGCCGCTGGGGTTCGGGGCGCCATCCGACGCTACAACCCCAACTTCCCTCAAGGAGCTTGTCCTACGTACGCCACGCAAGTTCCGTCCAGCCAGCGCAGGCACCACACTCCCACCACGCAGGCTCACCGACGGCAGGTTCGGCACCGAGATGCACCTAACCAGATGCTACTCGGCCACTTGTGACTTCTGTCCCCCCAGCTCCCCCCCGCTAGAGTGGTCGCCAGGCGCGCCAGCCTTGGGTTGTTTCATATGGCGCGCAGAGGCGGACGCAGACTTCACCGAGCAGACAGGTCCCCCATCGTGGGACGCAATGCCATCATTGTGGATCAAGAGGCAGTGGAACGCTAGCTGGGCTTGCAGGAGGTGCCTGGTTCACATCTGGGACATTGCCCCCAGCGCCCTCGATCGAATACTGGACCAATGCTCCATCGAGATATACCCAGCCTCCCCCGCCAAGAGGCCAGCCATGAGCGAGATCTCAGAGGAGTGGGGCATCTACGACATGTCAACGCATCTCTCCCCGAACAGCCCAGCGCCAGCCGCAGGCTCCAACGCACCAGCGGCAACTGCCGACTGCCGACCAAAACTCGCTCCGCGTCCACAAGGAGCCACAGCTGGAGGAGGTGCTCACAGCTACTCACTACCAGATCTTCCACCACCTGATGCACCGCCATTACCCACATACTCCACCCGCCGTCTTGCGGGGGAGCAGTCGAGAGGCCCGTTCGCGAGTTTGTCAAGTATCTGATTGAGTGGAGTCACGCGGTCTACTCCCTCTGGGCGGCCCACGCTCAGCGGTGGGGAAGGGACGTTGTGGGTGAGGTGACCGACGAGTCCGGATGGTCTCTCGAGCGCCTGGCGCTCTTCCTGGACACCATCTACGGGGGCGAGATACCTAGGGACGGGCACCCCCCGCGCACCCCCCGGGGCGGGCGGAGGGCCGCGGCGGCCAATGTTGCCACGCACCTAGTGGTGAGTAACCCGAAGTACCAAGAGGAATGGAAGTGCTTTGCAGACAAACTCGACAACCAGAAAGGACAGCGCCCCCAGCGGCAGCCTATGGACACGCTAACCCTCTTTCTATCACGAATGAAGGATGACCTTGCAGGAGGAACAATAGAGCTCCTCGCCGGCCAGCGCAAAGTTGCAAAGACCAGTGGCGCTGAGGAAGGAGGATCTCCCACAGCCGTCTGGCTCAACAAGCCCCTGGTGGCATCATCGGGCCCCTCCCCTGACCACGCTTCCCCCCGGCAACCTGCCGCGCCAGGGCAGTCTGACGAAGAAGCAGGAGACGTGCCGTCCCCACGCAAGTATGGAAGCGGCGGCGGCGAGTATGAAATTGACTGGGATGAGTCCAACAAGGGATCTGAGACAGAAGGCCAAGCTCAGGGAATCCCACCAGACAGGACTGACCCCATGGCTCAAGCCAGTCCCGCACACCAGGTAGTCAAGGCTGACATCCCAGAACCAAGCGACAGTGAGGCTTCCCACAGTCCGCCGATCCTGTGGCCCCACCCCCCCCAGAGGGTCGACTCAGCAGCCTGGTCGCCGTACGCTAGTGCATGCGCTCGTGCACTCCAGGACGAAGTCGGCGACGGCAGGCAGCTAAGGCTAGTTGAAAACAAGTCAGAGCGCCGACCACGCTCTATTCCCGAAGACGCCTCATTGGCCGCGCAGCCCGCCCGCCACTTAGCTCACCCTGACAGCATCGCAGCGCAGGTCGAGGGCGCGATCCTCAGGCAGCATCCCTCCCACCAGCACGCCCAGATGACCCCATGAGCGGTCTCCCCATGTACTTGAAGCCAATCAGCGAAGCAGATACTAACAAGGACGAACCAGCACCAGACAAGATGATCAGACTACAGAAGACGCTGGGAGGCGCCCTCAACGGGATCTGGACCGCCTGGGTCCGCAAGGCAGGCAACAAGCAAGGGGGCACATGGGTCAACATCAAGTCCGACCCCAGGAAGAATTCGCTACAGCAGTGCGAAGACTTCCTCCAGGCATGGAACAAAGCAGGTTTCGACGCCTACAAGATGGACGATGAGCACCAGCTCCACGTAGAATGGCCAACCATTATGGACAAGCAGCGCAAGCAGCTACAACGCGACACCAAAACACGCACCCCCGAATGTCCCAGTGGAGGCGGTCGCCCGTATCCATGGGCTGACGGTAGCAATGTGGTGCCAGGTTCCCCCCCAGTGCCCGCCGGTGACAGAGGCGCCGCGCAAGCAGCTGCCCCAGGTGAGCCCAGTGGAGATGATCGCCGGTACCCATGGAGCAAACCAAAGGAGGCCACATGTTCCCCCCCGCTGTACACCGAGTACAGAGTTGCCACACAGACAGGCGCATCCAGTTCAGCCGCCCAATG